GTCTCATCACGCTGACACTTTGAGATGGCTTATACTGCTATGAAGCGTAGATTTAAATGGCCAGGCTGGCCAGCAACCAACCCCTTCTTGAACGTCGCCGCATCGCTGCCACACATTCAGGGAGCCAGAATGGGCTATAGGATGTTAACAGCTATGCGCGCTTGCGCGAAGCTCGTGCGGATTCACCGCGTAGTTTGAGTTTTCGCTATTGACATCCTGGTTTGCGTTGAGCCATAGTTGAAGTTGAAGGCTTGCGCCAACCTTGCAGCGTGCTTGCGCAGAGCTTGCGCGCTCGAGGGCTTTTGGCAAATTACGTTATCTTGGGTTTTCTTTTGTATATAAACCGTAGACAAGGGTCTTCGGACAACCTCAACATGAACTGCCCCCTACCCTAATCTAAACAAACATAGGTCTGTGAAGGCTATTGTCTTTTGAAAAGGGGGCGCGTAGAGTTCACATTTGCTTGGGGAGGGTATATAACCCCAATATACAATATAGTAGTATCCATTTTTGCATTGTCCTTATATATAACCCCAATATACGAAAAAAAACATTGTAATCCCCATATACTTATAGCAATATCCATCCTATTTTCCATTCTCCCTATACATAACCCCAATATACTATGTAGCCATCCCGGCTGCCAGTACTTGCCGTTCACCTCCTCCTCGAAAGTGATCTCATCCCACCTCCAAAGGCCAGGAGGTCTTCTTTGAGCAAGCTTTGCAGGCAAGGATCTTCAAGAATGGAAACTACTATATTACTATAGGGATTATATAGGGGTTATATAGAAATAATGGAAAAGAAAATGGAAACTACTATATTTGACCGGGTGCTTCAACACAAACTACAGTAGCTTTTAGCTTCCGCTCAGTTTTCCCGCTAATGCACATTGTCATCAAGCAGCCAGAAATGAGCTAGCACATAACGCAAGACTCATAATAGTACTAAGCTTGCCAACCCTTAAAATCTGAAGAAATTTGTGTCAAGAGGCTGGAGATCGCCGTCCTCCCGCTCATGGCAGTTGTCCAGAGTGATGGGAGGTAGCTGGATCACCTGCAGCCCATGGAAACAGTTATCCTCAACTAAATGAATTGTGGTATGGCTTTTTAAAAAAGATAAGTTTTTCAGAGCTTACGTCGGGAATCTATCAGGGTCTGCAGGGCTTGTACATAAGAAAGGCTTTTCTGATGTTGTTCTGCAATTTGGGGTCCCCTCCGGCCATCCCCTAATGAGGCTTCTAGTAACGCGCGGGTATAAGGCGTGACGCTATCTTCAGATAGCGAAGCTTTGTAGGGATACTATTGTTACTTGTTACTGCTGTTTCAGAGGCCGGGTTCAGGGTTCAGGGATTGGAGTTGCGGAAAGGACCGATGGGAAGCCGCTGATAAATGTCCAGTTGGTCCAAAGGTCCTAAATGTTCGATTGAGAGGCCTGCATCCTTCTGGCCTCCACAACCGAAGAAAAACAGCTGCCAGCTTATGCTCCTGAACAGAAGGTCGTTCATCAAAATGCCGTTTACCCACAGGGTCCATCCCAAACGAGACCGTTTACATATGGCATCCTGCTTCTACCGCAGGGCCTTACTCACTCATGCATTTCTCTTTGATCTGCTGCGACGGTTTATCGACGGAAGCACAACCCTGGACATATTTCAGCCTTGGCATTATCTTACATGAGCCACTGTCTAACTCCTAGTATCCCCCTTAATTATTTCATAGCCCCTATACTACTCCCCTATGTAATACCCGTTTAATTAAGGAGTATAGACTATGGCTCCCATGATCATAGTCTGCCACAATAGTGGAAGCTGCGCTGGTCTTAAGGGGCAATCTCTGGGCCTCCTTGAGCTTCTCCTCCGTGATATCGACTCCTTTCCGCCAATCCTCCACATAGTTTAAGCTTCAGGGTTTAGGAGCATAATCCGAGCTCTTGATCAATGAAAACCCCTAGATTAAAATCTTGGGGGCCAGAAAAGGGGGCATCAAAGGCTGCTTCAAAGGCAGAAGCATTTTGGTGGTCAAAAATTCTTGGGGGGGGGCGCCCTTGTTAATTAAGAGCTCGAATTAATCAACAGGATGTGGCGGCAACGGCCCAGAATGGCTCAAATTATTACGTAAATAAAAAAGGGACACACAAGTTAATAGCTGCTGTAAGTGGAAATGGGAATGGTGATTCGGAACAAGGGTGATACAGGCTGCAAGAACAGCTACCCTCCGCAGAACATTGTGGGAACACCATGTAGCCCCGGTTCAAAACGTCAAAGTCAGAAATCTTCGTATGACCCTTGCTGGACTTCAATGCAAATGAGTTCGGGAGGTTGGTCATGTCTGCTTCCAAGGTCTAAAACCCACCATGCGCATAAGCTAGTCGAAGTTTAGAACAAGGCTAAAATTCCAATCTGTTCATATCTCCTTTTGCGTCAGCCCTACAACAATGAGGAAAACGTCGTATTCTCTCGTGAAATCTAACAAAGATGAGTTCAGGTATTTTTTGATTGCCAGAAGAGGCTTCATGGTACCTGTGGCTGAAGCTTTGCCCCTGTAAGTTTGGCGTCCTGTCCTCCACATCCTCCTCGGTGAGATCAATCTCACACCAGGGGTCTTCCGCCTTGCCAATCGTCACCTTCACCATGTCCTCAGTTTCTTCTTCAATCCCCAAGTCCAAAACCATGGTCCCTTACACCAAATGTCAATCAGGGGATGTCAGGGAAGACTGCCTGCATCACATCTGCAATCTAGAATCCACGTCATTGCAAAGCACAATCAATTCCGCCCCTGAAACCCTACTGCCACTTGCTGCAGAAGGCGCCCTCCGCGATGAATCGAGCTGAGGTAGGGCAGTCGAAAACTTGAGCAGCTTAGGGGAGCCGCTGCGGATGCATCGCATGCATGTTGGCGGGAATAAGGTGAATAGGAGTTAGCATCATGACGGCAAGACAGGGAATGAACTGGATGATGACCATGATGATGGTGATGGTGATGATGATGAACAGACCGAGCCCTGGTGGAGGCATCATAAACATGTCGGCACAGCAGCAGTGCAGCCACAGTAGCAATGACAGCCGTCGCGATGGTGCCAAATCATGGCAAAGCTTGTAAGATCTCGTAGGGATGATGATAGCAAAGAGGATAAAATATGATAAAATGCCAATAAGACTAGTGGCAAAGGCAACGACAGAGACAACATTACAGTAACGATGAGTCACATCATGCGGAGAAAGTCGCATCATCAGCGTGGGACAGCGCGTGCTGATGGCCCAAGCCCCCAGCCAGCAGCGCCGCGTTTCGGCGCATGGCCGGCCCCAGCTCGTCCACGGGGGCCTGCGGGGCGCAGTGGCTTCTGGGATATAGCGTTCAGCAGGACTGCGCTTGTAAGCTTGTACAAGTAGGGGTTAAAAGGGTTTTAGAGATGAAGCTGCTTAGGGCTTAGCTTTAGGAATCTTGTGGCTTAGGGATTTAGGGTTTGGGGCGTTTGGGTCCGGGGTCTAGGGCCCTTCGTCATGGATCTATTCATGCTCTGTATGGTTGGGGAAACGGACAAAGCCCCTCATTGACCTTTCCGAAGAATGTTGGTGGCCGGAGGCAATACCTGAAGTATAGGCTGACTGTTGAGGCTGAACTAGTGACCGATAGATGGTCCTAGGCTCCATGTGTATAATCAATATAGAGTATACACCTCAAAAATACCTCAAAACTGTATTGGTAGTGTCGTGGGCCCGTGGCGTCTAAGGTGATAGAGGAGGTTGAGGGCGTCTCTCCCGGCATTTTTCTGAAATTAATGCGGTGATGAGAAAACGAATGCGGACAAGGCGGGCGAAGCCACGCGACATTTGCAAAGAGACGTTCAGCTTTGCACTCCCTGAATTGCAAGTGGAGTTTGGCAAAGAGCTCTTGGGGTGCCAAGATTGGCGATGGGAGGCCCTAACTGAAGCAAGAGGGGCCCCGCGAGTGATGTAGGGCTTGCCCCAAGCTCATCCCATAAGCATAACTCCAGGTCCAAAACCTAGCCAGAATGCCAGTGGCGGCCTCCGGAAGAAGGCAGCCCATGGAGATGTGAAGCAAGCAGAGCCTTGACCCACGCGAGATCACACGAGTCATCGGCTTCTGATTTGTACTTACAGGCCTGTGGGACTTAGTAGCTCCTTGTACTTGAAACTAGAAGCCCACCTTTGCTCCGCGGACCCAAGTTGATTGCCACAAATGGCATCACACAAAGCAGTTACCCAATCCCACCAGGCATTTTGTTCCGCAAACAACTTTGCTCAGTGGACCTGATCAGAAATCGGCTTGTCCGAAGTGCAGACAGCTTAGAAGAACTGAACTTGCTGAGGCTTGCTATCTGATTATCCCCGTCTAACCTGAGCACACCCGAGTACTTGGAAGAGACGCATCTTCAATGAGGCTTCAGCAGCGCATCCATCCGAAGGTATCGGTTCGCAAATTCCATAACCTGATGCAAACTGAAACTGGGCTACCCAGTTATATCCACAATGGTAATTGTAAGGGACTATAGGACTTGTCAATACTCTACCTGGTTATGATTCAGGATTCTCCCTGCCAGGCCTTTCTTAGCAGTCCTGAGGTCAATTAAGGCTACTACAAAATTTTGCAGACCCTAGCTTTACGCCATTGTCATATAGAAAGCCAAGGAGTTTAAAGCAATCCATGCAGAGCAACGTACAATCCCAACGTCCCACAATACCACTTTAAAAGGGGCTTCTGGCTAGATCAGGATGCTTTTTGTTGAGCAGTCTTGCGGCCCCCGTGGTTTGCCTGCAGCTGCGGGCCCTGAATCCAGACCCTCAAGTCAGGCCCAGGAGCGCAGGTGCTTGCTCCAGAGCTCAAATCAAAGAAGTAGTTTGAAAACTCTAGCAAAACCAAGATTTGCTAGATGCGAAGGCTACCAAGTTCTCTGAGGCAACGAACAGGCAGCCCCTGAAGGCATATGCTCCTCTACATTCTCTGCGCAGCGCCTCCACTTCCCCAGAAAAAAAATCCCCATCCAGGAATCCCAAGGCCTCGAGGCAGGGCAGGATGATCTTGTCCAGCTCCTGGGACTTTGGGGCCTACCTCAACCCCAAAGTATGTTAAAAAATGACCTTCGAGCTATTTTTAGTGGGTTTGGGATATCGTTTTACCTACTTTTGCGGTCCAGGTAGGGCTAAGGAGTGTAGGATCGCAGGTAAGCTAAAGAAGTCAGGGGCGGCTTGGGCTTCGGAAATACGAGGACAGGAGGAACCATCGAGACAGTTGAGATTCACAAGGAATACGCATCAGATGTAGGAGTCTAAGAGTCCATGCTACGGATTGACTCACACGGGGATTGTCTTGATAAGCTCGTTTTTTTTGTTTTTTTTTCCGGTCTTGTTGCTGCTCTAACTGATGTCATAGAAGCTGCTTGTCCATGAACCCATGCAGTGCAGATTTCTTGCATTTGCGGGTCTCTTCTACGGCTCAGACTGTCATCACTGAGCGACTGTCCTGTGCCTGCAAGTTTTCAGCCACGCGGTCAAACTGAGCCAGCCTGATCTCACAATCTGATGGGAGAACTTTAGCCCTGCAAACTACTCATATGTTCCCAGTGTCCATGTGTTTTTAAGCTCTTTGAAATTGATCATCCATTATTGGGGTAGTATCCCTAAACCCTAAATTGTAGTTTCCAGTTCTTTTCCAATATCCCTATATGAGTGACGGTCAAAACCCTTTACATCTTGCAATGGACGCCAAATTGGGGGTATCGCTTTTCCATGTTCCATCGCTTTGCAAGGTTTTGTATTGAACCTGCGATCATGTGATTTTTGGGGTGTGGCTTTTTAATTGTTGCCATTACAGGGCTTTCGCCTGAAAAATCTACAGTGTCGTTTGTTGATGTTCCCGTCGCTTTACAGGGCGTTTGCTTCCCATGTCCGCTACTGACATAACTCCTTACAAACGATTGACTGTGGCTCATACGACCCCATAACCCCTCTTGGAGTAATATCCCCAATATCCTAGCATGGCACTGCGTTGAAGCCAAATCGTGAGCTCGCCCTTAATAGCAGGAAAGCGGCGCGAGAGCAAATTCGGGGAGCTCTCCCCGGTACCTGTGGCTTCATGGTGGTTAGTAGGGAATAAAGGAATAAACATGATCCCCACATCGTCCCTGTATGATGTATTCCTTATTCCTTACTACCCCTCAGTAAGGTGGGGCCAAAGGATTTGCTTCAGCATTTGCTGCTCGCAATTGATCTCGGGATGCTTCCATGCTTCTCACGTAGCAGCAGACTTGCAAGCCAGCAGAGCTCCGGAGCACAAGAACTCGTCCAGCATGCACAAGACCTTGCAGAGCAATAACTCGATCCGGTGCACAGCTGAGAGGAATTGATGCCTATCCTGAAGGAACAGGAGCTGCAGGCAGCAGCCTGTGCAAATCACAGTGAAAAAACAATCTAAGACGCAGTATCTGTCTCTGGAAAAGAAGAGTACCTTTTTCTTGGAATGGGGTCCCATGATTTCAGAGCCGAACCAGGAAGTTTCGTCAGTTTCCGGCCTCCTCGTCTCGTAGAGGCCGTCGACCTCCGCTGAGGGCGGCCTGCGCTCATCCAGGCGAGAAGACTCTCTTTTTTTTGCAGAGCTAGATCGGTACAGGAAAGGGATTCCTCTCCTGTCACCAAGTAACACCATTAGCACTAGCAGCGGCAGCAGCAACGACGACAACATCAACAACAAAGAAATTCAGTGCCGTCTGTGATGAGTGACTACATGATGCGTGCCGAAGCTCACCCTGAAGCTTTGATCGCATATCCCCAGCCTCAGAGGGATCCCACGGGATCTCCCATCCCCTTGGCCAAACTGGCTGTGGCATGCTATTTCGCATCTCGTGCAAGCAGCTCGCACGAGAATGCTTGGGGCGTGGGCGGGGAGTTCGGCAGCGGTGAGGTCTCCTCCTTGCCAAAGGCACATGTACTCTCAGTGACACTGAGCAGCTCGCTGCACTGCGCGAATCCGAAAGCCTGAAGGCAGAGAAGCCCAAAGCCTTGTCCCGTCAAGGCTGATCTTGGCCGACATGTAAGTTCAGCAACCATCACTGCGCAAACAGCAGGGTCCTCGGTGGCATCTGAGAGGTCACTGTCGCTGTCCTCGTGGAAACACCGAGGTTATGATGCCCATCTCCGTGTCATGCCATTTAAGCGACGAAGAGTGGCCACAATTTCACACTCTGATTACAGTCAAGCGAGGAGGCATGTTGAGTCACTTTGCATCCTGCAGCTTTACAGAGCAACCGAGAAGCCGCCATTTGCTTGCTTACCTAAACACTCTAGAAAGTCGAGGACATCAAGCTCTGGAATCTGAACCTCAGGCTCGTGAGCCCTTCAACCAGAAGTGAACCCAAACAGAGCCTGTCCCTTCGCGAGCTCCAGAAGCGGTTCTGCGAGGCTGCTCAGGTCCTTCAGAGCACTGGGCATGGCGGGCACTGAAGCGGCCAACTCTCGGGGCACAAAAAGCTCCACGTACGATTTTCTGAGCCCACACGTGAGGATCTTTTTTGTCCTCGCGTGCTGCCTGTTTTAAATTAGAGTAAAGAACACCACACCAGGTCACACTTAGTTGAGGATGCTGAAGTAAATAAAGTGGAAAGAGCCTGTGGGATACATGTGGGTACCATCACTTGCAAATTGTTGAAAAACCAGTGCAGCTGCATTGGGGCCCGCCTCCCTCTCCTCCCGCGCTCGCGGAACACGCTTTGGCAGTAACTGTGGAATCTCCTCATCTCCCAGCGTCACAGGAGCCGGCATGGCGCAGTTGGCTGCCCTTCAGTGCAAGTGCGTCGCAATTACTAGCACGGTCCTCTACACAACACACAAGAATTCAGGTTCAGTCCCCGTCTTAAGGGCCCCGAAGCTGAAACCATGATTTTGAGAAACTCACATGTCTCGTTAAGAATTTAGGGGCATGGTTGTGTCTGAGGCGAGGTTTGCAGATGCTTCTGGGGTGGCCTAACCTTCAAGTCAGAGGTCACCTCTTTGTTCAGCTGCTTTACACTGCCTGAACTGCTTTACACGGCACGAACAATAGAGGTACTTGAAGGATTTCTAGAACTGCCTAATGAAGACAACACGACATGTCCAGAACTTGGGATTGCACTGCACTTATGAAGACTGGAGCCCAAATCCATTAGCCAGTTTTTTTTCAAGGGCGTGTGCTCCGCCTCGCCACCCGGATGCTACTATATAGCTGATTGAATGCCTTGGCAAAGACGGTTTGCTTCAGCAAAATTCAATCGCCCGGGAGCTGCACAGGTCCGCGCCTTATGTTTTGTGAGAAGTTGAAAATCTTCAGGATGGCACGGAAGGTTGACAATACTGTTAACTATGTAGTGTCAACTTCACGAGCAGACGTTGGGAGAGGAGCCAAGGTAACAGAGTTCGTTGGCGTAGCCACGCCACAGGGCTGGATGTGTACCGATCGGAGGGGATGCTAAGATCTCCAACTTTGCTTGAGTCCCGGGATGCGAGCGAGAAATTCACACTTACACGCAAGGGCACGGGGATAAGGAATATGAGGAATAGTCATCTGAAAAGCGAGGTGGGACCGAAATTGCTAAAGAGGAAGCCCGAACAGCTTGTCGGCACAGCAAGTTTCAGTCACACATCCTAGCAAGCTCAGCTCCTTTTCGGCGCCGGTTGAATGCAAAGCCTGTAAGCTGTCTGCAGAGCTAGGCACATGAGCACAGCAGCTGCAGAAACTCGAACTCAACCTGTTCTTCGCCGGAGTATTGGGTGAGTCTACGTGAGGGGTTTTCAACTTTCAGCTTGTGACTAGTTGACTGAGGTACTAGTAAGTAGACAACCACCAAGCGACCTATGCCAGCACCTGTGCTGCAACCGAGATGGAGCGGGCTCATGTCTGGCAGCTGGCGAAATCTGGTCGCGATGGAGGGCGGGTGCTTCGCAACCTGTGCAAATTGCTAATCACTGCATCCCAGTGCCACCTCTATGCTTCTTACCCTTTGTTCACGCACAGAACCCTCACAGCTTCATGTATGCAATGTCAGTAGCAGGGTCTGCTCATTGGCCGTTGGAACTACGCTTACCTGTAGGCGAGCCGACTTTGCGAAGCAGGAATGCGATATCAACATACTATACTATGCTATAGTAGACTATGATGTACCATAATATACTACAGTATGAGCACGGATCATGTGAGAAATCTGTGTCCTGAATGGAAGTCCTCGTCTGGCATCAAGGCAAGCACCGGTCACCAGCACTCTACTTAGGTTGGTAAGACTTTGCTTGGACCCCTACTGAGGGTTCATGGAAAAGAAAATGGAAACTACCATATGACTATATAGGGGTTTAGCGTTCAGCTACCGATCAAACATGATATCTTACGCCACAGCCATTGAGCATTCCCCAAAGTGCCACTTGGGCGAAGAAGCCAATGGTCAGCAGAAGCCTCGAGAGCGCTCTCGACCAGGAAGCCCCAACAGCAAATGTTACCTTGCCAGAGAAAAGGTTGGAACCAGCACCCATTGCGAAAGCCCGAAGTTGAGTCCTAACGCTATGTTGAAATTCTCCAGCTGCAGTAGAATGGGGAAACCCTAGCCAAAGTGACCTGGATGAGGTCCACACGTTGCCCTCAGTTTCCTTCAAACTTCAACTCAAGGGCACATTGACATCTGGCTGGGCCCCGACATTTGCACATCATCTCTTCAATACTCCTGCTCTTTGGTCCTACATCGTCAATCCCAATCAGCCCCACACATCGAAACCCTAAAGCCTGAAACCCTAAACCCCTAAATTAAGCTCTAAACCCAAACTCCAAAGCCTTTGGTACATCTCCATTACCCCTTGCCGTTCATTGCCACGGTAGGCCCATACGGTCGGGCATCTTAAGGCTCTCTGGCCAAGTGGCCCAAGTATCATCTCGTAGATGATCACCTGAGAAGGACACGGGGAGATTCTCCAGACTGGGTGAATTCTCCTTAATCATGGGTTCCAGGTATCTGTGCGGATGTAATAGGGGATTTTAGGGGTCCCTTCGGATATTGCGAACCTCCCACATGGCATGAGAGAGGTGCTTCGCCTGCACAACACTTGCATACGGCCTCTTCATTCTGCGGTGATGCTGCTGACAGATGGCTCAGACCCGGGCGAGGACGTTCATCGCTACCAAGGGGTACCGCATGAATGTTCGCATGGCATGGAGGAAGCTAGCAACCTGCCACAAGCCACATTGGAGAAACAACAACAGACCAGCAAGGAGGCAGGCCTGGTTCTTGGGTCCCAAGTTCTCACCCACCACTGCCGAATCCAGGCCATATTTCCGCCTCATGGGCACGCTGCCGCTTTGAGGTCTTGGCTTCTGTGACATTTGAAAGAGGCAGCGTGAGCTCTCTAGTCTGCGCAGGAATCTTTTTGGAAGCTGCAGCCTCTCAAATCTTTTACCTTGGCGCTTTTGCTGAGAACTAGATTTCCGAATCGAGGTGATTTTTGCGCATGAGCGATCGAGCGCATGGTCTCAAGTCTCAAGCATCCTCCTGCTTATTTGCCAGCATCTGCCCCAGTGGTAGGACCCTTGAAGCAAGATTAGCTTGTCTCCCCCCCCCCCCTTCCCGTGGATCCAAGGCCCCGCACAGAAATCTCTTCTCGTTGAGGATGGCGGCAGCGTTCATGAGGAGCAGACCGGCCTCCGAGTACTTGTATCAGAAAATGGAAACTACTATAGTATAATAAGGTATATTAAGGTATATCTCGGAATTACATCGGGATAATGCAAAGAAAATGGAAACTACTAATTGGGGTTTTGGGTTTAGGGCGGTGGCGGTGGTGATGGTCCTGTTGCTAGATACGAGCTGATAATACCGCTGGTCACACTTCTTGCAACAAGAATAACATCACTTGTACCACCTGAAGCTAGGCAACAGATGCTGCTCCTACAACAGAAGCAGAAGCGCTGCCCACCATTTTCTGAAATGTCCTGATCCAACTGCAAACACATCTTCAGAGTCTTTATGGATGCATATGTATATGTATATACATATGACAATTTGTTAATATACATATATACATATATGTATATGTGTGTTCCACGCATCTCAAGCCCTCCAAAATTCCAAGGCCTCAAAAAGGTGCACCAAGCCGATCGCCATCAGCAGCAGTGCCCGGGGGCCACCTGTGCTGGACAGGGCCTGCTTGCTGCGGGCCTGCAATGGGTAATCCACTGCATCCCAAGAAAACACATCGTGACCAAAAACAACAGCACAATCCGACAGAATCTCGAAATAAGCATCAAAGCCACAGTTAAAGGCATTTCCCAAACACGGGACCTCCGATTGACATGACTGCTATCAAAAGGGAGGGTAAGCCAGTGTTGGAGCTAAACCCTCCCAGGATCTCTTGTCTTTTCCTAAATCCGCCCTACAAGGCGAATAGCCCTTCCTTGATCTGCCAGAACTTGAGAAATCCAACAGAGAATCCCCAGAATGTCCCTGTAGGATCCCTACAAACGCAAGAGAAAGCCGCACGTACAGAACACACAATGCAGTACGCGCACAAAACCTACGCATAGATCTACATTCGTGCTCTATGCAGGTCCTCTGACATGAAATTTGCATTGGCGCGTGTTGTAGAATGTTTTCCAACAGTGTGCTTTCTAATTCGCGATTGGGATACGATTTAAAATGACAACATTGTGTTTCTGCTTGGTTTTTTAGTAAGGTCGGAACTACACATGAAGTCTTTGCATTGTGTTCCATACAATTTAGATACCATAGTCGCCATCCTACGGGCTTCCAACAATGGTCCCCTAGTTTGCAGAAACCTTCCTCCCTGAAAAAACCTAGTTAGTCCCAGCTTCCTTCCACGTTCTTTTCCAGGTGATTCTCCATGTAAGGGGGCCCGCTCCATGTTCGGGGGTGTCCAAACCCCAAATAATCAACATACATAATGCTTCTGTAACACCCCTATATACCCATAACACCTCATCACCCCGACATACCCATAGATTTGTTCGGCAAAACGGAGCCGGGTAGCCTCGCCCCAGGCGTCTCTCTCGGGAAAATCCCTCCCGCCAGCTCTAAGCCAGAAGCCGAAGAATCCAAACGTGGCTTAGTAACCTGCTTCGCTTGAGGGTGTATCGGGCTGCTGTTAAGGAACTTAAACTAAGGTTACCATATTGGGTATACAGAGTTTACCCAATACAGTAACCTAAGTTCAGTTCCCTAACAGCAACCAAGTGTAGGGTGTAGGATTGACAGTTTGGGGTCTAGGGTTGATGCCCGAAGGTTCAGGAATGAGAGGTTAGGGTTCAGTTCAGGTTTGAGCGTTCAGGGTTTAGGATTCAATGTTCGGTATTGTGAGCTTAGGGTTCAGGATTCAGGGTTTAGGCTTCAGGCGTTAAGGGTTGGGGGTTCAGGATTTAGCGCCCAGGCGGCCAGGATTGAAGGCTTACGCACAGGGTTCAGGAGTTAGGTCAAAGTTTCCAAAGCATGACAAGGGTTCGCTCGAAGTCCGTCCCGTTTGCCGGTCCTAACACTAAAACTAAGAATGTAAGCTTGCCACCCCGGCCGTGATTCTTGCAGCCGGCAAATGTTGAAATTTCGTTCAAAAAGTCAGAACGCTCTCCTTGTAGTTGTTGAGAAGTTTTGCAGAAAATACGTTTCACAGTGTTGGGGATAAAGTCGCAAAGGTTCACCTCCGCCAAAAAATGCGCTGGGGCGTTTCGGGCAGTTGTTGCAAAAAGCTTTAATTTTGTGCCCTAACTGTTAGCAAAAGACTTCTCTGCGCAGCTTTGAGTAAAAGCACGAGATGCTTCACAGTTTGCGAAGTTCAACTTTCAGCTTGTAGGAATACTTAAAGCGTTCTCTTGTCGCGAAAATGTGTCTATTCGGCTCTTCAGGTAACAAGTCGAAAAGCTTCATGTTTTGCATGAAATTCATGGTCTCTTGTGGGCTAGGAGTGTGCGTCGTTTTGCTTTTCTTGAAAGCATTAGACGCCTCGTATCCCCATTCATTCGCGTATTTCATAGAGAGGTACGGACACACGTTATAACTTACAAGTAGGAGCCTGATTATGGCTTCTTCGCTCGCGATGTCTCCGCCACCCCACAGAGCAAAACGACCAACTTTGGGGTACGGGCTATGGCTATGGTAGCCTGTGGTGTCTCCATTGCACCATGGGGCACAGGTCATGATTTACTTGTGTAGTGACCCAGTTTTACCTTTCTCCGTCGCGATGTCTAGGCAAAACAGCACTAGCACTATAGAACTTGCATCTTGTTCAAACACAGTTTGTGGTCTGGGTTGGGTTTTCAGCTTTCGATGGTGTTCCGACCCTAGGCTTTCCGAGTCCTGGTTTGACTATTCCACATGTTTTTGGAGTTTTTGACTTGCCGGCTTTTTGGGCTTTAGGGTTTAGGGTCTAGGGTTTAGGCAGTGTTTTAAAAAGCTGTTCTGCTCGACTTTCTTGCTGGGGTTCGTACTGTAGGGAATAAGGAGTTTTTGATGTGCGCGATTGTCCGCCCAAATCCATCCACAGCCTTTCGCAAACACTAATGACATGGACCGTAACCTTGATATCCTTGTATTCCTGTTCTGATCCATTAGGAAGCTGCATGGGCTCTACAAGTAATCATGCAGATTGATAGTGGACAAGACGAGCTGAACCATGGACCTGCTCTGCAAACTAACTGGCCGCTGCGCTCCGCATGGAAGTGTCAACCTTGAACCCCTATGCAGAAGCAAGATCTTTTCCGCTGACCCGCACATGGCAAGGCAGTGGTGAAACGCATGTGAGCAGCAGAAAGCTACGACGCATTAGGCTGACACTCCATGTGAACGTCACGTCCAGAGACGAGTGTGTTCTCTTTAGAGGCACGAAGTCTCTAGTCGATAGCATGCCAAGCATCGACACAGTGTCGCTCGTCAACACATACGAACAAACACATGGAATGCTACCAATTGCAGGCCAGGCAGAGGGAAGCGGAGAGGACTGAAAAATAGACACATTTTTGGGGTGCACATCTTGTTGCAGCTATACATGAAACTTTTTGTCTGCCAGGCACTAGTCTATGTACACACAAAGCAATGTTCTCAAACGGCAGGAAGCTTAAAGGTTCAAACGTCAATCGAAGGTCCAGGCAATCAGGCAATGCAGGACTCCAGAGCCCTCAGCTGCCAGAAAGGCCTCGCCACATGCTCCGGGCGTTTTTTTGCGTTTAGGGTTCAGGGGAGCAATAGGCTGCCCTTGCTTTAGCAGCTTGATCAAGTTTAAGCAGGCAAGCACTTGCCACACCTGGTAATCCATGGAATCCATGGAAATGCAGACGGGGTTGGAGAATCGGCTGCCAACTTTTTCATCGGACTACGGCGCGGAGACTGCATGGAGCATCCCGAAGCTTTGGCCAGCAGTTGCTGGCCCCGGAATGACCAAGGACTAGAGGTGAGATAGCAAGGCGCTTCAGGTTGAGGCCACCTAAACCTGGAGCTAAAGACTGATTGTGCCTAGGCATGCAGTCATCCGCCGTGTGTCGCCGATAAGATACTGAATGTTCTCAAAGGCCTCTACCCTTGGGCTGCTGCGGCTTCAACAGGGTTGGCGCTTGCAACCCTGTGGAAAATTTGAAGACCCTGCAGCACGGGCTTCGCGCGCTTGAAGACTACAAGCCTGCCTCGAAAGCGCAAAGGAAACCGAAGCCCTACACCTCAGGGCCCTGCACAGCAACCTACGAAAAGCCTGCTAGGCAGGCAGCACAATGATGCCTGGCATTCAAAAGACCCTTACGAAATGCACCCTCAATGCCACAGCAAGGTAGCCTAAAAAAAACAATTAGTTTATGCCGCTGCAAGGCATCATCACGAGACTACACAAAGAAGCCTTGCCCAAAGACTCGAGTCTGGGCTAGGACTCAAACATTAACTGAAGTGAAGGGGTGCAAGTTGCAGGACCGCTCAGCCGCTGTTAGGAGCCTGGCACGTCCTGGCCTTTGAACAGGAGCTCCCACATCACTCCTTGTGCAACAAAACACATCATCGGCCGCTGCCATGACACATACGCTGGGTGACGCACCGGACAAGTTTAGCTGACGTCTTCACAGCAACCCGGAGACAGGAAGGCGCATTCTGAAGCCAAGGCGCATCGTATTGGTAACGCTGAAGTCCATCTGGAACGGATTGGCGCTCCTGCAGAAGCGGCCACGGAACGAAACGGCTGTATGCGGTCTACCCAACTCCATGCCCCAGGACAGCCACGGGTTCGGCTCCTAATTACAGGAAACGGTGACGCCAAACCAACCTGCAACCTGAAATCTTGATTGGCCAAGCACGGTGGATTCACTACCTATCAGCACACAGTATACTTAGATTCAAAGCCGAAAGCTTTTACCCTGACGAGGAATGACAGCTCACAAAGCTTGCTGCAAGTAGATTTACATGGCTTGCTTGGAAACCTGGGCTTACAGGCCCAGAGTTCTCAAGCCAAGCCATCAAGCTCACAAACAGTCCAAGCGCCTTCCCCGGCCCTCTGGCCCCGCCGAAATCAATGTCGGTGAATTCCTGACAAGTCCACAAAGCCCTTCTAATTCGCCATACAGGTGCAATAGGGATCGATTCAGGAGCATGTGCCTAGATCAATGTTCACTTCCATTGAAAGCATAGAATCATACGAGCTATAGTTC